AAGATTAGTTTTTAGTTTGCCAGTAATACCCTTCTCTAGTAGAAAAAAAGAATATGATACACATGTGTCAGACTCTTTAGTGTCTTTTCAGTTGAATTCAAGGGAATAAATGAGGAATAAAAATCAATATTGTTAATTGATTTAATGTAGTCGATATATCTTAATATTGAACTATGAAGACCACAGCAAGAGACTTCGTCTTTTCATGTAGAAGTCATTGAATAAATTCTACTTCATAAGATGAAATATATGAAGATAACGAACAGTATTCAGACTCAAAAGTCCATTAAACAATACAAAATAGGAATAGAGCAAACACGGACCTCCAAACATCAGAGGTGGGATCAGGTGCCATGGAGGAGTGAGCATACCCTGCCGACCGGTCACACCCGCAGTGTGCTCCTTGTCACGATCGGGTAATAACGGAAAAATCCGTCGACAATTCAGTGTGTAAATAATGACCTGACAATTAGTATGAAAAACGTCAGTCAGCATTTGACTCAATGATAAATTGTATTTGCTGACAAGGTCATTGTATCGACCATAGAACTTACGAAATGATGACTTTAAACGAGACTGCTGATATTATTGTTTCATCAACTTGATTGTCAATAATTTACCTCGTTTTAGAAATTGTACATACGTAGAGCATGCTCTTGCATATCGAATCAACTGAGAGATATATACCCCGTATGCAGGTGATGAAGGTATATTGCTGCATAAGTAAGGGAAGCTGACGATTGAAAAGTTAAAGTCATCACGTTTATCATAAAGCTTTGTTGTTAGATTACCATTAACGTCTTTTTCTAGTAAAATATCCAAATATGAAACAGATGTGTCAGACTCTGTGGTATCTTTTATCTCAAGCTCACAAAGATATATCATATCGACATAGGAATGGAAATAGCCATTGTTAATTGACAATACGTCGTCGATATATCTAAATGTCGAGTTGAAGGCCACTGCAAGTGTTTTCTTCTTTTCACGTACAAGATTTTGGACAAATTCTGTTTCATATGAATACAAAAAAAGGTCTGCTAATAACGGAGCGCAATTGGTACCCATGGGAATTCCAATAGATTTTTGGAAGACCTGGTCTCCAAAAACCACATAGATATTGTCAATTAGAAACTCAAGCATCTTTTTAATGTCAACTTCAGAGTACTTGTGTGTACAATCAGAATGTTTTTTAACAAAATAATTTTGCAAATGACCAATGACAAGGTAAGTATATTTACGAGTTCCATTTTTATTGAAAAAGCAGCTGTCAATTATATCAAAAAGCTTGGACTTTAATTTATCGTGGGGAATGATTGTGTATAAAGTTGAAAAGTCGTAAGTTTTTAAGCTGTTGATTTTAGTAAAATCTTGTGATTTCAAATTTTCCAAAAGTTCCTTGGAATTTTTAAGTATCCACATCTGATTTACACCACTTCTCGAATATATTGTTGCACAGTACTCTTGAAGTTTCTCCTTCACTACTGTTAATATCTAAGTGAGGAGTAAAGAAAGGGGCTTGGTTGAACATTTACTGGAACCCGCTACGTATCTTTGTTTGTAAGGATTTTTATGAAGTTTTGCAATCCAATATAGATATGGTAATTCAAATTCATTTTGGTTGTTTGGAATATTAAAAATATTCAAAACTGACATATGATTTTGAAGAATTTCTTCCTTAGAAAGGGAACTAAGAGTATAAGTTGGATTACCACTTGTAGAATTAAATCCAAGTTCCTCTAAAATACATTTAATATAATGAGCCTTACAAACAAAGACAATGTTGTTACCTGCTTTGTCAGCAGGGACCAGTACGTACTGATCATGTAATCTATCTAATTCTTTTTTCACTTCTGGATTATTGAATACAGAAGAATAGATGGTTCTCATATTGCCCCTCAATCTTTTTATGCGCGATTTTAACATACATCTGATACATTTAATCCATTCTGACAAAGTGTCAAGGTCTTCTTTTTCATGTCTGGCCCATCGCCTGGCGTAGTCCTCTACAGAATCCATAATATTTATGAAATTCCGACGCCAGTTGAAGGATCGGGGTTCCCTATATTTAGGACCTTTTAAAATTAGTGATCTAAGGTCCTCATTATTAACTATATTTACGTCACCAGTAATAACTTGTCCAGCAGGACTATAGTTATAGGGTGAAGAAGAACATGAACACGATGGAGGATTATGTTTCAAATATTCGATATCCAGGCCCTGTAAAGTTTTCTTGCAATTAAAAAGTTTGGGAGCAATAGTCGATGTATATTTGTAGGAAATACAAGGTGTAGACTTTAACTTGAAATATGGTGGAATACAAGACTGGACCATTTTGTGATTAAGAATATTACTTATATCAACCGCGTCAATTCCTTTGTTGGCATATTGAAGTTTAAGGAAAAAACGGATTGTTTTAGCTGCATTTTCCTCAGTAAAACGTGGGGGTTTAAAAAGCCTATGATTTGCAATATCCATAACCACAGATCCGAGCCTATATTCTGGTGTCGAGGAATCAAAAAATGGACTTTCCTTGACCTTTTCAAGAAGACTATTTAAAAGTTTCAAAGGGACAGAGTAAAGTTTGGTGCGAATATGATGTAGACCTAACTGTTGATTTACGTAAGGTAGTAATGAATCAAAAGAGACATCGTGTATTAAAGGTTTATTATAAGACCGATGCCCATGACTACGCTTACGTCTCTGTGTATGGTTAAAAAGTCTCATCACATTTACATTGTTACACTGTGGACTGGAAAGATTTCCAACACTATCGACATTGTCATTACATCCATAGGGAAAGGCTGTCCCTAGCTTTCTAATCCAAAATTCTTCTCATTGTCTACGGAAAGGTGTACTCGGTGATGGGCTGTTTGTGTGGTGGTAAATCTTCTCTAGAATTCTAACTTTCATTGACAAAATAGAATGATCAGGTAAATTAAAATGCTTGTATAAAAGTTGCTGACCCCCATTATTTATCTGAATGAAGAACAGCTCTGCTAAAAAAGAAGCACAGTTATTATCCAAGGTACATTAATTTTACTAAAGAGAAACTCTATTATTTTTATACTAACCTTTGAGTACCTGTATGTAGAATCGGATTTTTTTTTTACAAAAATAATTTCAGAATGACAATGGCAAAGTATGCAAATTTACTTGATCCATTTTTATTGAAGAAGCAGCTGTCTATGATGTCAAAAGGTCTGGTCCTCAATTTATTTTGGAGAAAGTGTTGAAAAGTCGTACTAGTAAGAAATTACTTTAACCTTACTGATCTTATTAAGAAGAAATCATTGCAATTTCGGATATCATCAATCTTTTTCCTGAAATGCTCCAAACCCTACAGCAGCTTCAAACACCTTACTTCCGCTATGCAGACTCCTATTAAATTTTATATTAGGTAATGCTTCTAACGGTGTGTGTGTGAGGGTGTGTGTGTGTGTGTGTGTGTGTGGTTTCCATATTTTTTTGTTTATAAATAAATCAAACAATAACTTTCTTTTACCTAAAATCGAAAAGCACCACCTCCTTTTCACTGAAAGTTATAGTTATGTAACTTTTCAGAGTGTCTAAAAGACGTTACTTACTCTTTCTTTTTTCATTACTAGTCCTTGTTTTAAAAAAAATCCAGAAAAAGCAATCAGAAAAAATTAAATAGTAAAAATTGATCAAATTTCCTCAAACAATTATAATATTTTAATGCAGATACTAGAATTACTTAATGCATAAATGAAAGAGAGGTGTATATTGACTTATAAATACAGTAAAAATACGCTTCAGTAAACGATTTTGCTCTTCGTTTCCATTTAAGATAACAATTCTGAACTAATATCTCTATCATGTTATTAAGACCCAGAACAAGTTAAAGCAATATGAGCTGCAACTTTGATGTCGGAAAATTTTTGTTGTGATATTGTAATTTACTATTTCAATGACAAAAAAGAACGTTTTAAAACTTCTGTTGTTCATATTTGCGATGGAAGAACTATTTATAAGCTTTGATTGAATCAAAATTACATTATTGTCGTCCTGTACAATATTGATTTCTTATATAATATCGTACATTCCATTGTACAGAAATCTTTCTTCTAAAAAAAATTTAATGCTTTAATTTAGTCTAATTGAATCAAAAAGGATTAAATTACATACAGATTTATCATAACAGCACATTTTAACAGCAAAATAAAATTCTCAAAAATGCAGCTCATATTGCTTTAAATACCACCTCTTCCATACCCTTTTTCTCTCGAAATATTGCAATAGTTTGAAATCAAACATACACGTATGTGATTATATTTTTATTCTATATTTAATTAAATGGATTGCAAAGGATCTAAGGTAAATCATGCATTTATTCCTTTCAGATTTAAAAAAAATCTGAAATTTTTCGTCAATTTAAAGACACATTTCTTTTCAGAAAACAGAAAGCACAAAATAGTCCAGCTACCAGGTTTATCTTTAAATCTTTAAATCAAAATTTATCTTAGATAGACTGGGGTCTTTGTTTTCATGATGTATTTTAAGATATGTATAATAAAGAATCCCCTGAAAGGAAGAAATTTGAAAAGTAAGTCTGTTGTGGCATCTGTCTATGATGAGAGTCAAAAAAGGTCCCTAATCAAGACTTTCGTTTTAGCTATGTTCTGATTTTAGCTTAGGGCCAAAAATTAGAACATAGTCGAAGTTTAGTGATCCACATTAGGTATACAATATTAAACAATAATACAAAAATCTATAATAAAGTAGGAATATGTATTTCTATTAGTTTTTACTGGTGGAAGCAATAGCTTCTGAAGTTTAAGTAATGCACCATGCAGAAAAATTAACACAAATTTAAAATGGTCTATTTTCCGATTCCTTTGCACTACAAAATGTTTACCTCGATCCTTTTAAACAAGAAGTGCATTGTTCATGGATCATGACTAAGTATATATATAGCTTAGTGTCACGGGACTTCTGTTCTGTTCGACTGCACATAGCTGGGTATATTGAACGGGTGCCTGAAACTAGTATAAAGCTGTGCGGTCGATGATCTGAGGACTAGAGTTTGCCGCCATGAAGAACGTTCTATCTCTCCTTGTTGTCGTTTTTTTCGCTGGACTGTGCTTTGCACAGGATTATCCAGGGGTCCCAACAGCAGGTTAGGAACGAAAAATTGTCTATTTTATCTTATTTGGACGGCTTTTCTTAACTGAGTGTAAAAATTTGGTTGTTATTTTTTCAGAGCCATCAGCGGGAAAATGTCCCAAAGAGTTTCCGATGATCGAGTACGTGATGAAGCCTAAACCATGTCATGTAGAAAAACCCTACTGTCCTAAGGGTCTCATGTGTTGTCCTTGTCCTAAAACAGGAAAAAAATATTGTATCCGACCCAGGATGGATGGTAAGTGGTAATCAACAGAGTCGTCAGGCTCTGCCACAATTTATAAATTTACCTATCCATAGCGCTGAGTCATCTCTGTTCTTCTCAAATTTACAGAGGATAAACAAGATATTTTTCTATGTTTAACATGTCTGCTTTATGTCATCGATTGAATTTCGTGTAACATTTTGCTTTAAGAAAATTAAGTAAACACGATACATCCTTTTATTGATCCTCTCAATCATTTATATGAAATCCCTTTTCACTTTAATCAGAAGACCAATCCACTGATGATAGTGACTCTTTCTGGGAGGAATTGAAGAGGGAATTTATGGAACACAAGGATGATGATTACGATTGTGACGATGACGATGACAGGAAGGAGGACGGCGATAGAGTATACGAGATGGATCGTCTAGCTGAGGAAGAAAAGGGACACACAGGGATGAAGAAACATCGCATGAGATGTCATCATAAACACAGAATGCACAAGATTGTCCGGATCGTCGCACCAGTAGTCGGACTGATCATCATGGTCGCTATTGCTGTTACTGTGGCATGGTATGTTATATTTGTTCAATAAATGTAATAGTGGATGATCATAAAATTTCATATAAGATGCATGTTTCTCATACAGGTATTCATGTAAGTAAATGTGTTTATTCTATTGTTTGTTTTCCTCGTTTTATAGCTGCATCCGGCGCCGACGCATTAGGCGAGCTGCTGAGAAAGCCAGAAAATCCGTTTACACACCTGAAAACATCGCCCCGGTTCCAGACAAGGCGGCAATGAAAGGAATCCTTGGCCTGGAATTCTCCCCGGAAGTTTTTGTTTCTTCTGAGCCCTCGTACAAGAAACTGGAGGAAGAGAAAGAGCGCATTTAAAATAACTGAAATAAAAGTTCTATTGGTTCGATTTGGACTACGAAAAAGAACATGTATACGTTCCATGATTTTTTTTTGAAATATTATACATCTGTATTTTTTATAAATTATGCACCTTTTGTTTTTGACACATGTTGTGTATATATAGATTCCTTTTCGCAATTACGTGTTCTTTAGCATTTGATCTACATGTAAATATATATCGGTATGAAAATTGAATTTTTTTGTTGAAGTATAAGTATATATGACACATGATATACTGAAATATCCTTGCTGCTCTACTATCAATGTACAACATGGAAATCTCTTCTTTCTTGAAAATTCTACTGTGAATTTGCCTTTCCTTCTTACAGATGTACGTGATGTTGTCAATATGTATAAGTAAATTACAAATTCTTTCAGGTTCTTTGGATTCAGTACGTTTATATGCCTACTATTAATGTCAGTTGATATTTACATTTGTTTTGAATGACCTCACCTCCAAAATGTACTTTTACTCTTGTTCATAAGGCGTTAATAAGAGGATTTGTAGACCTAATGGGTCATTTAAAATGTTAGATACCTGCGGGACAGGAACAATCTTGGTAGATTTGTTGAGTTTTATAAAATAAATGTATCTCAATCTCTATTGCCTTAAGTACTGCATATAATAAAATTCTTTAATGAGTACTATAGTATATTTACCAATACATATACAGTACACATTTGAAACACTCATTATACCGGATTATGAATATGGAATTGTAACGTTTTGATTTTTCTTAACAAGGAATTCAGGAAGTTGAAGCTATTTCTTGAAAAGGGAATGCTTACAAGCCGTGAATAGAAACAATCATGGTAAAACGTGAAGAGAAAGGGAGAAAAAACGTGAGGCAAATTAAAAAAAAACACATATATGTATATGATTTCTGGAGGAGAAAAATTTCTCTGTTGTACCAAGGTATCATTTGATATACGGTTAGTTAGCAGCCAAGATTTCATAATTATATATCTTCCAAGGGGTTCTGTTGTCCGGATGTCTAATTTTTTTTTAAAGATCTACAGTATGGCATTCATTAGTGATATTCAAGAATACATAACACAAACAAAAATTTGATGCATATATATATATATATATATATATATATATATATATATATATATATATATATAGATAGATAGATAGATAGATAGATAGATAGATAGATAGATAGATAGATAGAGAGAGAGAGAGACTGAATTTGAATGGAAATGACGACATAATAAATTCCTAAAATATAAAGAAATCATAAGTTTTCTTCGGTGCTTAGGTATGCGACTTTGTGTCGTTTTCTTTGTAATTCTATACAAAATTTTGTACACATTCTTAAAATTGTGACAAAGTCTTGCAAAATTCTCCCTTTTTACCTGGCAAACATTATTCAGGATACCTATGAATATAAATCTATGAGAAATTTTGCTGATTTCTGGGGAAAAACGTTTTTTATATCTATCCTTAAAACAGAGAAATAAAATAAAAGCTGGATAGATATACCTTGTACTTTGTTCTCTGTATCTTTGATTTATGTAATCAAAGGCGGATCCAGGGCCGGCGCGCCGGGCGTGCCCCCCCCCCCCCCCCACGTTTGAATTTTTTTGTATGTAGAATTTATATGTCCATTATCCTAAAATCAAGGAAAAACATCTCTTATTTGTAAGAATTTGTCAGCTTCCGGGGGCTTCGGACCCCCACCAGGGCCTTGCCCTAGACCCACTGGCGGCTTCAATGCATCCACCAGAACCCCTTCCCCTGCCTTATACTGCGCCCCCCTGTCACGAAATTCCTGGATCCGCCACTGTGTAAAGTACTGGTAATGCTATAATGATCAATATCAAAAAAAGCGAATACCGAGTGTTTTAAAGCGAGAAACAATTACATGAGAGCTGAAGTCTGCACTGTGTAATTTAAATATAAATCATTAAAAAGGACGACCTTTTTGTGTTATATGAGATGAATGACACTGTAAACAAGAAAAAAAAATCTGTATTGAAGGTATGATAATCCGTCACGTTTTTTGATACAGTGCCAAGAAAATACCCTTACAAAAGCAAAGAACTGAATACGAGAGATGAAAAAAAAATTCTATTTGAAAACGTGACACATACACCATGAAATGTATATCAAAACTACATACAATGCACAGAATAAGCTTGATATATCGATCGCTTGTCGTACATGTATTGATCTATTTTTGCTGCGACCATAGGCCTTTTAAATTTTTCATGTGTTGTTAATTGCTTAACTTCTTTGAGATTTAGCCAATAATTATGGCACAAAAAACATTGTAAACGTTTTCGATAAATTGAATCGAAATGAAAACCCTCGCATTTGCAGTGGTTTTTGTCCTTTCTCTTGTTTTTGTACAAGGTAGGTTATTTCTTTTTATAAGTTTCATTATGGAAAACAGTGATTTGCTGGGATTACCTATTTTATATTCCAAAAACATTATTTCGTAATCTGCCTCTGAAATAACTTCACAATTTTAATAATGACACTGATATAAAAAAAAAAAAAACAAGATTGACTAGTTAATTTGAAGAAATGATGATAGGAATTGAATCAACCTCCTCGATGTAAAATATTCTTTGATTGTAACCCATCATAGCACATAAAGAAAAATGTCCCTCCAGGGAGGAGGTGCAGAAGATGGACCCAGTGACCCTCACTACTGCCATGTGGTGTAACAGGGACAGAGACTGTCAGAAGGAGGAGCAATGTTGTAAAACACCCTTAGGACAAAAATGTTTCGCCACTCAGGATACAGGTTTGTGTCGGATCATGTACCACATCATTCAGAAGTAAAAGAAAATACGGTGGGGTTACATAAAACTTTCTGAATAAACAATTTGTCAGAAATGATAAACTTTAATGGAATCTTTCGATTCTAATTTCTTCAAAATACAGTAAAACTCGTTATAACTCGGTTATAACGAAGTCACTGGGACCTGTGAAATTACTTCGCTATATCTGCAATTCGTTTTATCCGTATAAGAAATTCGTTAAATTTATATAGCTGGGGATCCAAGAAAAATTCGCAATATCCGTGATTTCGCTATATCTGTATTCGTACTAAACGAGTTTTACTGTAGTCACAAGGTCTCAAAAGAAGTCCACAGAAGTCCACAGACAGAGATATGTAGAGTGCTTTTTTAAAGTAACCTTACTGTGTTTAAGATCTACGTTTGTTTAAGCAAGGTCCTATCACACAGATGGAACAAGAAAGGGTACGAAAATTGTATATTTCTGTAACATCCCCTCGACACTACAATTTGTCAATTTTCTATACAAATTTTGCTGTGTTGTGTGGATTCATGTTAATAAAAGCTATCTTTCCCGAAAAAGGGATGGAACTGCAAAGAGAACATTTTTACATGTACAAAGAAATATATAGATGAAATATGGAGATATTGAACAGTAATCAAGCTCAAAAGTCCATTGAAATACAAATCGGGAGCAGAGCAAACACGGACCTCTAAAAAACACCAGAGGTGGGATCAGGTGCCATGGAGGAGTAAGCAACCCCTGTCGACCGGTCACATCCGCCATGTGCTCATTGTCATGATCGGGCAAACGGAAAAATTTGTAGACAATTTAGTGTTTTTTAAATAATGGCCTAACAATTACCCGGTAGTATGAAAAATGTCAGTCAGCATTCGACTGAATGATAGATTGTATTTGCTGAAGATGTCATTGTATCGACCAAAGAACTTGCGAAATGCTGACATTAAACGAGACTATTGATATCCTTGTTTTGTCAACTTGTTTCTCAATAGCTTGCCTCGTTTTAGAAATTGTTCGTGCATGGAGCATGCTCTTACGTATCGAATCAACTGGGAGATATAAACCCCATTAGCAGGTGATAAGGGTACTAGTATATTGTTGCATAAGTAAGGGAAGTTGACGATCGAAAAGTTGAAGTCATCACGTTTATCATAAACTGTTGTTGTTAGATTATCATTAACATTTTTTACTACTAAAATATTCGAATATGATACATGTGTCAGACTCTGTCGTATTTTTTATTTCAAGTTCACCGGAATATATGAAGTCGACATATGAATGGAAGTAACTATCGTTAATTGATAATACGTAGTCGATAGATCTAAATGTCGAGTTGAAGGGTACAGCGAGTGTTTTCTCCTTCTCGTGTAGTTCCAAGTTTTTGTATATATTCTAAAAGGCTGCCAATAGTCGTATTATAAAGCATACTCATGTAGTGTAAAATCACGACTTTTTTGAACTGTGATCCTCGGGATAGGGATTGGACTATACTAGGGGTTGAATGTTAACGTAACATACAGCTGGGAAATGTAACGTTAATTTATGCTTGCTTAAGGAAATCAGATTCTAAGATTCTGAAAATCACGAATTGAGTAATTGAAAATGCCCACAAAAATGTCTCCGAATTCTAAAAGTAATGTGTTTTTACCCGTGGTATTTCTTCGAAGTTCATCATTATAGTTAATCATATTATATAGGGAAAATTATAGAATCTCAAATATTTTAAATGTACCAGGAAACGCGACTAGAAGCACTCGCTGTACATTTTTTAACTGAAAATGATCAACAAATATATTTTAGGATAAAAACTATAGGTATCAAGGCATTCGGAGAAAATTACTTGTTTTCTTTACTCATACATTACTTTAGTTCTATAAAGCAGAGTTTATTCAAAAATTCTACCTGGGAAGAAAACGCTTGCTGTAGCCTTCAACTCAACATTTAGATACTAGTATATCGACGACGCCGTATTATCAATTAACAATAGTTACTTCAATACATATGTCGACTTAAACTTGAAATAAAAGACACCACAAAGTCTGTCACGTATGTTTCTTACTAGGATGTTTTACTGACTACAGATGATAAGGCCAACTAACAACTAAATTGTTTGACAAACGAGATGACTTCAGCTTTTTCATCGTCAACTTTCCTTATTTATGCAGTAATCTCGCGTTATCACCTGCAGAAGGTGTTTACA